GGAGCCCACAGAGAAAGTGGCGGCGCACAGCTCTGCGGCACCAGGAGCGGCTTCGTGGCCGGGCCCCGTCAGGGAGCGCTTTTGTCCGCGCGACGCGGACTGCATTCACCAGGCGCCCACTGCGTGCAGCGCGCCGAGAGGTGGGGCGGACAGAGTTAGCACCGCTGCGCTCTGGGGACGTAGCGTCGCGGAGGGAAGGGGCACTATTTCCTTACCGCGGATTCCAGCAAATGCCCCCAGGTGTGTTGCTCCTGGTATCGCAGCTGCCACCTCCATCCAGGACTCACCTGGTGAGAGAGATCAGGTTACCTGCCTGCTCGGGCTCTTTCCAGCTGTAGCGCAAGGATAGGAGGATAATGACACTGCCTTCCTTACAGGATTATTAACAAGACAAACCTTGGAGAGAAATGTGTGAAACGCTTGACATACAGTACTGTGTGTCGTCATCTCAGGAGGGCAACACAAAAATAAGTGTACCTTATCCTGTGCCTCTGTCATTGCACTCTTAGAAACTTATTCTTGACGAATAATAATACAGAAGATGTTCTTTGCAGAGTTTGGTTCATAACAAAAGGTGGATTGAGCAAACAGCGTGGTGATTATATTGCATCAACCGCATGGGGGTTTGTGCAGCCATTCACGTGGCAGTTGTGAAGATCATATATTCTGGAAAAGTTTACAAATAATCAAAGTTTAAAAGCACAATAAAAAGTTGTGTGTATGCATGCAAAAGTGTCCAGCACAGTGAAAACTAAGGATTACAGCATGGGTTGTTGTTTTTTTGTATGCTTTGTTTAAGGCTGGTATAACATTAATGCAATTTTAAATGTTTAATAAAGTCTAAGATCTTTTCATCTTAAATCAGTGTCAGTTGTTATTTCGAACTCATCAGTGATGTCACTTCATGATGCAGATGAAGTTACCTCCAAGAGCATCTCATCAGTCTGAGTACAACCTGCAATTAAAGTGATCCAAAAATCATATCAAGCTCTAGAAATACTAGGCAAATACTAAATGCCTACTATGTGCCAAAGAGTGAACAAGACCCTTTTTAAGTGCTTCTTTTACTACAGAAGCTCTGAAGATACACTAATCAATTCGAACAATAGCCGCTATCACAATTTAAGAGACTAGATGGATAACGGAAGTAAAAGTTAGCAAACTGATATACACATACACTTTTGCCTTGTTCTTATGGCAAACACTTGGTTCCCAACCACCTACTAAAGTAATTTTCAGATTTGTATTAGGTAGAAGTTGGGATTTCAGAACGTGATGGGAGAGCTGGGGAGACTGCCTGTTGTGAAATTCAAAGCAGTGCATTCAGCTATAAGAGACACTGCAGAAAAACGCACACATGCTTAATCTGCAGGGAAGACGCTGTTTAGGCTTGCCTATGTGTAAGTGTAAATCTTACTGCTTAAAACAAAAGATTCCAATAAGAATAATACTTTAAAACCATTCATATGTTAAGGAGAGCTAACCTTTCATTGAATTAAGTTTTAGCATTAGATGTGTAGCATTGGCATCATCATAATTTTAGTCATATTTTTGAAGGAAAAAAAAGGAAGAATAACAATTCTTAGGAAATTCACCTTTTTCTTTTTTCCTGAAATAGAAACCCACTACCTATACATGTCACTAATGGGTATGGGAATTACAGAAAATATTTCAAAGCCTTTTTATTCCCTTATTTCTTCTAATTTGCTCTCGGTTGAATTGTGCGCCTTTATCAAACCATTGGTTTAGGCATCTGTCTCAAGTACACAAACTCCACCTATTTCATACCGATAAAATGTCTTTTTCCATGGATGTCACTACATAGAACCTTCCAGTAAAAATGCTGTAACAACTAATTAAATAGCATTTTTGAGCAAAAGTTTTCAACTTTTTTATTATTGATCGCTTAATGTTGCACTCTTTATGATGTATCCTAAACCAGAGGTAAAAATCGAGACCAGGTTATAAGAATATTTAAAACCTTTTGTTTAAAACATGTTTCTATTTTCCAAGGCTAATGTTAAATTTGATGTAACTTTGCAAGCAAATGCTTACCATCTGTAGTTGGTATTTTTCTTCTGCTCCAGCCATTAATATATTTTTTACATAAAAGAGTTGTCTCCAGTAATAAAAAATCTGTCTGAGGTAAGGTTATGTTAATAACGGTACTCCTGTGAAGCTATTTTTACAGTATAAATTTCAAATTTAATGCCATTTATGTGCCATGGAAAAAGCAAACATCAGGCACGCAGCAATTTCTACCCCTGCTGAAAAATTCAGCTTTCTTTAATGTTTAAAATGTCATGAGTTGAATTTAATATTTAGTTCTAGCTTCCTCCAAATCAGCTTATAACTGATGAAGCAGCCAAGCACAGCCCCCAAGTACTTGCAGTTGTCAATCGGGCCCTTCCTTCCCCATTTCCACTGATTTCCTTTGCCTTCCCAGGCCCTCAAAGTTAGGATCACCAAAAACCCTCATGTGCAGTCCCTGTCCCGACATGGTTTAGGATTAGGTCACATTCCAGGCCATTTTCTGTGACCCTTTCCCTGTCCCCTTCCCTGCAGATCTGGTCCCCAGTGATGGAAACTGAGGTCACATCCAAGACCTGTGTCTCTCCAGACGCTCCGCCATGCCACTCTCCTTGGCTCTTGCTTCTCAGCCTCTACCTTGGTGTACCAAGATGGTAGTCCTTACCCACATCCTCTACTAAATAGGTCCCCATCTATTGCTCTAACATAGTATCCTAGGCTCCATCCCTACAGATACTGATTCAACAGGTTGCGGTGGGGCCCATGAATTTGCATTTCTAATGCTGCTGGTGGGGAAACCCTACTTTGAGAACCACTGCCTTACATCGGGGATGAACTCGGACGGCTCTGTTTGTAATAGTTCAGCTTGGCCTCAACTACCTGAGCCAAAGGTGGATGGCTCACCAAGAGGCCAATAACATTTTCTCTCCTTGGAACTTGAAATGGGGACACTGGGACACGCAGTTAGTGGTGGGCAGCTGGGTTGAGAGGTCACAGAGTTAGCAGCTGAGAAAGCCATTTTAAGTTCAAGTAGATAAACCAAAGAGGAAATGAGTGTGTAGAAAATACTAAAAACTAGACAGAGAAAAGTGGAGACAAAAGACTTCATAACCCCAAAGAGGGAGACCAAGAGAGTGATTGTCTGACAGATTTCCTGCCCATACTCCTGGCCCAGGTGTGCCTTCTTACAATTTATTTCCAAGGGATCTCACTGTGCAGAATGACCACCTAACTCCCCCTCCCCCTGACTTTGACAAGCTTAAGTGGATCCCTGTCCCTTGCATTCACTTTGTCTCTAGTTGGAACACTGGGCCTGTTTCATCTCCAGGCCTGTTCTAAGCTCTTCCCCAAAAACCCTCAATCACTTGCCTTGCTTCTGCTTGTGTTCTTCCCCAGAGCTGAGCCTTACCTGCAACCCAGCTGGTGGCTTGGATCCTCCCACCGAGGGGCCGCACTTCTAGAACCGAGAGCAGTCTAATACATATGGCTCTTGTGCTCTTGAAACATGCCTAGTGATGTGCTGCAAGTATAAAATGCATATTGGATTTTGAAGATTTAGTATGGGGAAAAAAGAAAGCAAAATATTTTAATTTTTTATACTGATGACATTGAAATGATAATATATGGGATATATTGGGTTAGATAAAATATAATATTAAAGTTAATTTCCCCATTTCTTTTTACTTTTTCTAATATGACTACTGGAAATTTTGAAACTACAACTGTGACTCACTTATACTTCAATCGCACAGTGGTGATCTAGAGGATGATGACCATCCCACCCATCTACCTCCTTAATGTTTGCCACCAGCTGGATTCCCCCATCAGTGGGCTCTGTGCTCTGCCCAGCACCAGACTTTCCCTGCATCACTCTTTAGACCAGGGGTCCTCAAACTACGGCCCGCGGGCCACATGCAAATACAAATATTGTATTTGCTCCAGTTTTGTTTTTTTACTTCAAAATAAGATATGTGCAGTGTGCATAGGAATTTTTTCATTGTTTTTTTTTAAACTATAGTCCGGCCCTCCAACAGTCTGAGAGACAGTGAACTGGCCCCCTGTTTAAAAATTTTGAGGACCCCTGCTTTAGACCTTATGTTACCCACCCAGCCCTCCAACCAATTTCTATAGCTAGGTCAGTTCAACAGCAACTATCTCACCCCAGTGAGAATGGGAAGATATTCTTCAAAGGTTACGTTTAAATTCTAAACTGCATCCTCTGTACCAGTAAATGCGGCCTTACTTGAAAATAGGGTCTTTGAAAATGTAACCAAATTAAGATCAGGCCAGTAGGGTGGGTCCTAATTCAATGTGACTGGTATCTCTATAATAAGAGGAAAACACCATGTGAAGACAGAGACACACAGGAAGAATGTCATGTGACAACAGAGACAGAGATTGGAGTGTGTAGCTGCAAGCCAAGGAACGCCAAGGGTTGCTGGCAACCACCAGAAGCTGGGAAGACGCAAGGAAGGAATCCACCCAGTGTCAGAGAAAGCATGGTCTTGCCAGCACCTTAATTTTGAAATTTAGACTTTCAGAACTATGAGAAAAAACTTCTGTTGTTTTCAGCCATCCTGTTTGTTATACTTTGTCACAGGAGCCCTCGGCAACTAATACAACCTCTAAGTCCCTTCCACGCTATATTATATTCTACACAATACAAGTGAAAAAGCACACAGCATAGTTGATTTTCATTATTTGCTGCATTTACAATACTGTGCTTCTTAAAAAATAGAAAACCCTGTAAACCTAGGCCATTTTTATGCACCCATTTTCAAATGTCTTAAGTATGCCGACTGCCCTGTTACATTGTGAATTCTGAGTTAAAAGAGAATATAATTTGAAGAGCTTGCATATTTTCCAAAGCCAATTTGGTGATTTAAGCATGGAAGTATTACAATTAAATGTTTGAAAAGTTATCTGTGCATGGTTTGCTGTAAGCTGATATCATGAAACAACACATCTTTTCAGGATGAGGTAGCAGCCCCAGCCCCCGGGGGAAAGGGAGCGGGCGCATCACTCAACTGCAACTACTTTGGACAACTGAACAACATGAGCAGGCACAAAAAAATAGTCATATCCAATCATCTTCAAAATAAAAACTGTAGTAGCAACAACACGATTCTCTAAGGGCAGGATGGGAGGAGATGTGGAAATACTTGTATGATGCAGTCTTCATGGGTAATGCAGAGAATATGGGCCAAAATGAGATCAACATGGCTCATAAGCCAATGGGTCAATGTCAACCATTGCTTAAAAACTTTCAATGGCTGCTCGTTGCCTTTAGCAGCCAATCCAAACAGCTTTAATGACATAAAGGAATGTTCATGATTTAAATATATAAACTTTCAAAAAGCAGAAAACAAAAATATATGTGAAGAATGATCCCAATTTTTAAATAAATATACTTATGCATTCATTCAAAATGATGTTTACTAAGCATATGTTAGCTGTTGAGTACAGCTAACTAGTGGAGGAAGACAACCAACAAGAAAACAATACATAAAATACAAAGGGTAAGACAGTATTATCTGTTGCTTTCTAGGGTGCATTTTCAATGTTTAAGTCAAATCAATCCCAGTGATTCTCCAAAGTTTAACTGAAATGTTAAGAAAGATTTTACCTCGCCCAGCTGGTTTGGCTCAGTGAATAGAGCAAATCGAACCCTGCGGACTGAAGGGTCCTGGGTTCAATTCTGGGTTGCAGGCTCGATCCCCAGTAGGGGGCATACAGGAGGCAGCCGATCAATGATTCTCTCTC